CTCACTCCCACACCCCCGGCCGGCATCACTCGCTCCAAGTCCAAGCACGAGCTGAAGCTGCTGGAGAAGATCCCGGACAATGCTGAGGCTACCGTGGTGCTCGTGGGTATGGAGGGGTGGGCAGGCCAGAGGTGGGCAGGCCGGAGGTGTGGGGATCACATAGCAGGCACCCCAGTGACCCCTTGTGCCCCCAGGCTGCGTGGAGTTCCTGGACCAGCCCACCATGGCCTTTGTGCGGCTGCAGGAGGCCGTGGAGCTGGACGCGGTGCTGGAGGTGCCTGTGCCTGTGCGATTCCTCTTCGTGCTGCTGGGCCCCAGCAGCACCCACATGGACTATCACGAGATTGGGCGCTCCATCTCCACCCTCATGTCCGACAAGGTCCGTGCCCCAGGGCACTGGGGTCCTGTCAGGGTGGGGGGCTCAGGGCTGTGCCAGGACCGGGGCCATCCTGAGACCATGGGATTGGGGCTGTGCCGGGCTCTCAGGACACCACAGAGCTATGGCATGGCCACTGACCCTGCCACTGCCCCCCAGCAATTCCACGAGGCCGCGTACCTGGCTGACGACCGTCACGACCTTCTGAACGCCATCAACGAGTTCCTGGACTGCAGCGTGGTGCTGCCGCCGTCCGAGGTGCAGGGCGAGGAGCTGCTGCGCAGCGTCGCCCACTTCCAGCGCGAGATGCTGAAGAAGAGGATGGAGCAGGAGCGGAGGCTGCTGCTGGAGCCCAAGTCCCCTGAGGAAAAAGGTGCCAGGGGCAGGGCTGGGGCCAGGGCAGGTTTGAGGGGGTGTCCCGACTGTTGGAGTCTCACTGTCTGTCTGTCTGTCCGTGCATCCGCCCGCCCCCAGCGCTGCTGAAGCTGAAGGTGGTGGAGGACGAGGCTGAGGAGGACGACGACCCCCTGAGGCGCACGGGCCGCCCTTTTGGGGGGCTGATCCGGGACGTGCGGCGCAGGTACCCCCAGTACCTGAGCGACTTCCGTGACGCGCTGGACCCCCAGTGCATCGCTGCCGTCATCTTCATCTACTTTGCTGCGCTGTCGCCTGCCATCACCTTCGGGGGGCTGCTGGGTGAGTGGGGCTGTGGGGGCCTGCAGGGGTTGGTGCAGTCGTGGGGGGCTGCAGGCGGTGCTGGGGCTGCCTCCTGTGTGCGGTGGGGCAGGGCCGTGACTGCACTGGCCCATCCTGATGCTGTGCCTGAGCCTGTGCTGCCACAGGGGAGAAGACACAGGACCTGATCGGGGTGTCGGAGCTGATCATCTCCACGTCGCTGCAGGGCGTCCTCTTCTGCCTGCTGGGTGCTCAGCCCCTGCTCATCATCGGCTTCTCGGGGCCACTGCTCGTCTTTGAGGAAGCCTTCTTCACGGTGAGGTGCAGGGGGGGACACCCCTGTTCCGGCCCCACTGCCCGGGGCAGAGACGCCTCAGCCCTCCTGCCAGGGCTCTGTCCAGCCCTGCTACCATCCTGACCCCCGTCTGTCCGTATGTCTGTCTGCACGGCTGGGCAGTTCTGCACGTCCAACGAGCTGGAGTACCTGGTGGGGCGTGTCTGGATCGGCTTTTGGCTCATCCTCATCGTGCTGGTCATGGTGGCCTTCGAGGGCAGCTTCCTGGTGCGTTTCGTCTCCCGCTTCACCCAGGAGATCTTTGCTTTTCTCATCTCCCTCATCTTCATCTATGAGACCTTTTCCAAGCTGGCCAAGGTGAGCTGAGGGGGATGAGCCGGGAGGCTGTGGCAGGGCCGGGGAGGGTCGGGCTGAACGTCCCATCCTCCTGCTGCAGATCTTCCAAGAGCACCCGCTGCACGGCTGCCTGAGCGCCAACAGCTCTGCCGAGGCCTGGGGCAACGGCAGCGTGGCCGTGGCCAACAGCACAGCCCTGACCACCAGCCCAGCTGCCCGTGGTGCCGCCAAGGTCACGGGGCAGCCCAACACGGCGCTACTCTCGCTTGTGCTCATGGCCGGCACCTTCTTCATCGCCTTCTTCCTGCGCAAGTTCAAGAACAGCCGCTTCTTCCCCGGACGGGTGAGTGGGGACGGCTGTGGGGCTGGGGTGAGCCTGGGGGCCACGGGGCTGGGACGAGCCCAGGGGAGCTGGAGTGAGCCAGGAGGGCTGTGGCCAGGCTCGTGCTGGTGTTCCCCCAGATCCGGAGGCTCATCGGGGACTTTGGGGTGCCCATCGCCATCCTAGTGATGGTGCTGGTGGACTACAGCATCCAGGACACCTACACACAGGTGAGCAGCCACCCATCCGCTGCCTGGGCAGGATGCCCACACCCTCCTAGGAATCCCTGTGCCCTGTCCCACTGTCCTGGCTGCAGGTCAGCAGCTCTCTGTCCCCAGCAGGCCTGCACCTGCTCAGCCACCTCTGGCTCCCAGCACCTGACCTTCCCTCTCCCTCTGAGTCTGGCTTCTGTGGGTCCCAGTGCCTCCATGGGCCCCCTCACTCTATGGGGCACAGCCAGTGCCCTCTCAGCGTTTGTCTCCCCCACCCCCTGCAGAAGCTGAGCGTGCCCAGTGGGTTCTCCGTGACAGCCCCAGACAAGCGGGGTTGGGTGATCAACCCCCTGGGTGTGCATAGTGCCTTCCCTGTGTGGATGATGGTGGCCAGCGGCCTCCCTGCCATCCTCGTCTTCATCCTCATCTTCATGGAGACCCAGATCACCACGTGAGTGCAGTGGGGCTGGGCAGGGGGCATTGGTGGGGCAAGGGGCAGCCTGTGCTGTGCCAACCGTCTGCCCTGGTGCCCAGGCTGATCATCAGCAAGAAGGAGCGGATGCTGCAGAAGGGCTCCGGGTTCCACCTCGACCTCCTGCTCATCGTGGCCATGGGCGGCTTCTTTGCACTCTTTGGGTTGCCCTGGCTCGCCGCAGCCACCGTGCGCTCGGTCACGCATGCCAACGCCCTCACCGTCATGAGCAAGGCTGTGGCACCTGGGGACAAGCCCAAGATCCAGGAGGTGAAGGAGCAGCGGGTCACTGGGCTGCTGGTGGCCGTGCTTGTCGGTAGGTGTGACCCTTAGGGGGTCTGCAGTGCAGTGGGGAGGGGGCTGGGGAGGGGGCTGGGGTGGGGAGGGGTAGGGCAGTGTGGGGAATGGAGCTTGGGCAACCTGAGCCCTGGCCAAACTGGTGTGGCCATCCTGTCCCCAGCGGACACAGAGATGTGGGATCTTTTCCATGTGAGGGCAGGGGGAGTGGGGCTGGAGGGCTGTGCTGAGCCCCCTGCCCAGGCTGACGCTGCTCTGGCCTAGGGCTGTCCATCGTCATCGGGGACCTGCTGCGGCAGATCCCGCTGGCCGTGCTCTTCGGCATCTTCCTCTACATGGGTGTCACCTCCCTCAATGGCATCCAGTTCTACGAGCGCCTGCAGCTGCTGCTGATGCCCCCCAAGCACCACCCTGATGTCAGCTATGTCAAAAAGGTGGGGAGGGGGCCTGGGGAGGATGCTTGGGGGCAGGACCCTTGTCTGGGACAGCAGCTGGGTTGGGGTACCCTTGTGTGGGAGCACTGCAGTGTCTGCAGGACAGGCTGGGGCAGAGGAGGACAGAGTAGGGACTCTGGCGGGGCTGGGGGCCGTGTCCAGGGTGTGGATACCCCTGGGCCAAGCTGTGCCCGCGGTGGGAGGGGGACACAGGGCCCGGCTGGCGCTGACAGCGCTCTGTGCCCAGGTGCGCACGCTGCGCATGCACCTGTTCACCGGGCTGCAGCTGGCCTGCCTGGCCGTGCTCTGGGCCGTCATGTCCACTGTGGCCTCCCTCGCCTTCCCCTTCATCCTCATCCTCACGGTGCCGCTCCGCATGTGCCTGCTCAGCCGCATCTTCACCGACCGGGAGATGAAATGTGTAAGTGGCATGTCCTTGTCCCGGGGGGGCGGGGACGGCGGCTCGGGGGCACGGCAGGGCCGGGGGGCCCTCGCTGCCCCTCAGCCGCCGTGTCCTGCAGCTGGACGCAGCAGAGGCCGAGCCCATCCTGGACGAGCGGGAAGGTGTGGACGAGTACAACGAGATGCCGATGCCGGTGTGAGGGTGCCAGTGGCTCACGGCTCGCGGTGGGCACCGGGCACGGGGGGACCCCCGCACGGCGGGGCCGGGGCCCTGCGCTGCCCCGAGGGTCCTGCCCTGTCCCGAGGGTCCTGCCCCAGGGCCCTGCCCTGTCCCGAGGGTCCTGCCTTGCCCCGGGGCCCTGCGCTGTCCCAGCCCTCGGGGGCACTGGCCCAAGAGACCCGGGCCAGGCTCAGCCCCTCGGACACGTGGTGCCCACATCCCGGGACAGAGCCCCCGGCCCCCCAGCAGCCCCTCGGCTCCCGCCCCACACTCAGGCGTCGGCTGAGCTCCCGGGGTTATGGAACAGGCAATTCAAAGGCAATAAACAGCTTTATTCCGAGCACACGGCTCAGGGCAGAGGTGCTGGGGACCCCCCCGCCAAGGGAGGCTGCTCCGAGCAGCACCTGGGGGGCTGCCGGGGTGGGGGCTAGGGGCCCCCCGCTGCCTTTGACTAATAAAGAGACCGGACTTTGCACACTTTTCACCAGTTTTATTGGAAAGTTCCCCCTTCCCCAACACCCCCCTCCTGCGGGCCCAGGCCCTGGGAACAGCCCCATGTGCACACCCGCTCCCGGCCCTGCGTATGATCCCCTGCAGCCCCCCGGACCCCTGCCCTGTCCCCAGTGCTGGGGACACAGGGACAGCCCCCAGTGCCCAGGGCAGCCCAGGCCAGGCCCAGCCCCTGCAGCAACAGACTGGGCTGAAGTGGCAGAGCTGGGGCAGGGAGGCCATGAAGGACCTTTCCCAGTAATTCCCCCCATCCTCCCCCAGCACCCCTCAAGTCACACCCCGGCCCCCCATAACAGCAATAAATAATCTCACACTCCCCCAGCCCCACAGCAGGAGCAGGTGCCCACGGCCTGGCCCCACAGCCTGGCCCCCCAAGATGGGGAGCATTTCCATATCCCCCTGACCCCCCGGGATGGGGGGCAGCTCCGTATCCCCCTGCACAGGGGAAGGGGCTGGCAGCACCCACCTGGCCCCCCACAACCCCCGGATCCGTCCCTCAGAAGCGCAGCTCCCTCAGCTTCTGCCGCAGGTAGTGCTTGGCCTCCTCGATGCCACTCACCTTCTCCAGCTCCGTGTAGGGCAGCTGTGAGGGGACAGGGAGGATGTCAGAGCAGTGACACGTCTGACCCCACCTACTGATCCCCAGTACCTCCAGCCCCCAGCCCCATTCAGCCTTCTGTGGGGGTGGGAGGAAGAATCAGGATGGAGATCCCTCCCTGGAGAAGGAGGTTCCTGCTGAGGGGATGGACAGAAGTGTGGACAGTGGCATGGGAAGTGTAGACAATGCCCAGCTCCAGGCTGGTCCAGCCTGGAGCTCAGGCCTGGACAGGTGGTGCAGGGAGGAATCTCGAGCCTCACCCCACCATCGAGCCCCTGTCAGCATCCTCCATGAAAGGTGGCAGGGTACTGGGGGGCTGAAAACTGCGGGTCCAGCAGCTCTGAGGGCAGCACCAGCACTCACAGAGCAGCACTGAGAGTCACTGGGACCCGTGCTCCGGCCACTGGCAGACCAGGGGAGGAATAAAGGCTGGAGCCCCTCAACCCAGAGCTGGGGCTGGGGGTGTTCACCTGGAAAGAGAAGCTCTGGAGAGACCTTTTAGAGCCCCTTCCAGTGCATAAAGGGGCTCCAAGGGAGCTGGAGAGAGACTTGGGTCAAGAGCCTGGAGGGACAAAACAACGCTTCCCAGTGCCAGAGGGCAGGGATGGATGGAATATTGGGATGGAATTGTTCCCTGTGAGGGTGGGCAGGCCCTGGCACAGGGTGCCCAGAGCAGCTGTGGCTGCCCCTGGATCCCTGGCAGTGCCCAAGGCCAGGCTGGGCACTGAGGATTGGAGCACCCTGGGACAGTGGAAGGTGTCCCTGCCATGGCGGGGGTGGCACTGGATGGGCTTTAAGGTCCTCTTCAGCTGTGCCTTCTGCACACAGCCAGCCCTGCTCAGACCAGTCCAGCCCAAACACCAGCTCAAGGGAGAGCTGGCCCTGCTCCCAGCCCAGCTCCCAGGTGATTTCTCAGCAGAGTCACAGGACTCTGGAGCTCTGCACAAACATGGGGCTCTGGGCTGCTGAGCTCTAGAATGAGGAGGAGCTGCAGCTGGCACGGCCTGGCAGCAGCAGGGGCTGAGACAGTTTGGGAATGGCTGTGGGATGGCAAGGTGGAAGCACTGCTCTAATCCTAGTCCTCTCTGCAGTACAAGAGTGAACAAGACTGAGGGCTCATTTCCAGAGCCATTTTCCTCAGAAAGACTCATCCTCAGGCTAAAACCACCCACAAACAAGCACGTGGGAGCTGCACATCCCAAACCAATACCTGGACTTTGCCAAAGGAGCTGCACACCTGACGGCTCTTCCAGTCCCAGCACTCAGAAAGAAACAGCTGGGACTGGAACCAGGGCAGGCAGGGCTCTGGCACAGAAGGTGAACCAACCTCCCTCCTGCCCCAGGCCTGGCACATGGGATCACAGGTCAGTGTTGGATCCCAGAAGCACCCACCACTGTTACAGATCACTACGTGTGTCCCCCTCGATTTCATCCTGAAGCCCCTACTCGATGCCACCACTGTGGCTGTGTCTGCCAGCCTGGGCTCAACACCCTTCCCTTCCCCTCACTCAGGTCGGGTCTCAGCTCACAGCACAGACTGTCCCTTGTCTCTGCTTTCCATCAGGGCTGGTGTCACCCACCAGCTGCATGGAAAAAGTCCTGCATGGGGTGGGGGAGGGCAAGGAGACATGAGGATGAGTCATCCCTGCTTCCTCTCACAGGGACAGAAGTGTTTACACTGGGGATGCCAGGTCCGTGCCCATCCTTCCAGAGGGATGCCAGCTCATAGCCCCTCACCCACCGAGTCCCCTGGCCCCAAGGAGGTGGGGCAGCCCCCACTTACCTGCACCAGACAGTATCCCAGCAGCCGCAGGTGCCGGTCCCTCATGGCCCGGGAGCCCACCAGGATGTCGGAGTTCTGGCAGTAGTGCCACTTGTCATTGACCGACAGCACCACCCTGGACAGGGGACAGTGGGGAGTGCAGTGTCACCCCACGCCACAGTATCACCCACCCTATGGACCCTGCTCCCCAGCACCCTGGCAGCTGCAGAGGAGCACCCCAAATGACCCCAGACCCTGCTGGTGGCAGGGACAGCTGTATCCAGCACCCCAGGGCAGTGGGGACATGGGTGTGTGGCTGCCCCATGGCACTGGGCAGGAAGGGGCCAGGGTCTCAGCGGGCAGGAGCCCAAGGCAGTGCCAGGCTGGCTGTCCTGCTGAAGGGATCAGAGCACAGGCCGGGGATGTAACCCTGCTCCCTACCTCTGGATGTCCTCGGCACCCTGCGGGCCCTCGCCCGGGCCCCGCTTGGGGCTGGGCCGGCAGGGCGAGGCCGGGGGCCCGGCGTCCTCACTGCCTGGGGGGCTCCGCTCCTCGGGCTGCTCCTGGGCCTGCTCCCCCTGGAAGCAGCCGTGTTCCTGGCCAGGGCAGCCGGCGGCCTCCTCCTCCTCCTCCTCCAGGATTTTGCCGATGGGGAACTGGAAGAGGGAGGCAGTGGAGGTGCGGGGGGAGCAGTCAGGGGTGCCGGGCGGTGGCGCCGAGAGGCACTCGGAGGGGCTGCTGAGCGTTGAGCTGCCCGGGCTGGCCAGGGACGGCTCCTTGCTCAGCCCGCAGAAATAGTCCGAGGGGGGCTGGAAGCAGGGCCCCCCCGGGGCAGGGCAGAGCGCCGGCAGGAACCGCCCGGCCCGGCCGCTCTCCCGGGGGCCTGGCGGGCTGCTGGGTGTCTCTGCAGCAAACGGGGCAAAGTCCTGCAAATCGGAGGTGAGGGCGAGGACGCTGGACCGCAGGGACATGGTGACGGGGGACGTGGCTGGGGGTGCCCTGGAAGCTGCTGGAACACGGGAGAGGGGCAGCACTGTGCCTGAGCGGTTGATCCACAGCAGGAAGTCTGCAGGAGAGAGAACAGGGATCAACAGCTGATGGGACACGGGCTCGGGAGCTCTGTGCCCCAGTTGGGACTCAGAGCCAGCAAACAGGCACAGGGGAACCCCTCCTTTCTGCAGTGGGAGGGCTCGGGGAGCTTTGTCCCAAAGGCAGTGTCACAGGGAAGGCAGTGACAAAGGAGCCAGAGCTCATTCTGCCCCAAATGACCTCCCACCCTCAGCCCCACCCTCCCAACCTGGCAGCCTTCTCTGCCTCACAGCCCAGGGGGTTACCTGTGCAGTACCCGGGGGGCAGCACCTCGTCCTGCCGATAGCATTCCTCCCCCACCAGCTGCCGCAGCGCCTCAGCCACCAGCCCCTTGTAGCTGCAAGGAGGGACAATCATGGGGCACTGCAGGGGCTGGCATGTCCCCCTGCACTGCTGGTGCCGAGTACACCGACGTGGAGATGGGAACCCCCAGGACTGGGATGCACAGGGCTGGAGTTTTGGGCTCTGCTGTTGGGAGTCAAGAAGGGATGGGCCACAGTTCCTTTTGCAGAAAAGCTACTGGCAGATTTTGGGACACCAAAAATCCCCCTAAAGGGCTGCCCAGCCCTGGCACCACTGCCCAGAGCAGGGGGGAGTCCCCATCCCTGAGGGAATTTAACAGCCATGTGGATGTGGCATTTGGGGATATGGTCAGTGGTGACCTTAGCAGTGCTGGGGGACAGGTGGACTCAGGGGCTAGGTCACTCAGCATTGTAATGACATCTTCATCCAGATGTGCAGTCCCTTCATGCATGCACCCTTCCTCCTCCTCCTCTGCCCAGGTCCCGCTGGGGAGATGGGACGAGCAGGATGCATTTTCACCATCTGATTTTGCTCTCCTCATTGTCAATCTGAAAACCTTCACCTGTACGCCAGTCTCCTGACCTCCTATACGTCCTGCTTCCAGCAGCTGGTATCCCCCAAAGTGCTCGGGGTGGGGTGAGGCTGGAGTGGCAGACAGAGTGCACTGACTGCGAGAATGCCTTGGCCAGGCAGCCCCTGCAGCCAGCTTCTGGTAACTCTGGCTGAACTTGGAGGCGTTTCCAAACCAGCTCTCCTTGTATGAATATCACCTCTTCTCCACTGAGGTCCGAGGCTTTCCCAACCCAGACAATTCTGCAATTCTAAACGATTCTGTGATTCCAGAGTGCTACCCCACAGGCTCTGGAGCTGCTATAGGGGCCTTCATCCCGGCACCATGTGGGATCCTGCCAGAGCAGGTGACAGAGCCCCTGTCCCCGCCGTGAGGGACAGCAGAGGGGTGTCCCCCTCGCCCCCTCACCTGTACTTCCTGTTGGCCTCGTCAGCGGTCAGGGCGTGCTCGAACATGAGGACGCGGTAGCGCGGGTCGAGGCGGGGCCCGCTGTACTCGCGGAACTCCAGCTCCACGGCCGCGTCCAGCAGCGACAGGTACCGGCGCACGATCAGCGCGTAGGGGCTGCCTGCGGGGCAGAGGACATGGAGCCCGGCGGGACGGGCACCCCTCACCCGGCCACGCTGCTGGCACCACCCCAACCCCGGCTGGGAGCACCCCGGCCACGGCCCGACGTACTCATGACATTGCTGATGAAGCCTGGGGAGAAGACCTGGTGCAGGACAGTCTGTGGGAAGTGGCTGAGCTGGAACATGGACATGAGGATGTTGACGGTGGCCAGTGGTGAGCTGCCAGCCTTCTGCTCCAAGATGGCCTCCAGCTTGGGGAAGAGCTCGCCGTGGTTGGAGGGGCGGTAGTTCATCCGGCTGAAGGGAAACACCAACTTCTGGATCACCTGCAGCAAGAGAGGAGTGTGGGGCCCGGGTGGGACAAAGGACAGGTCAGCGCCACCTGCCCAGTGCCATGAAGAGACGGGAGCTCAGAACCCGCCAGGACTAGGGCACAGCCCCTGGTCCCTGGAATGCCCCATCATGATGGAGAGGAGCCATGTTCCCCTGCCCAGGTGTGCCCACAGATGGAGGTGACCCATATTGTGACCCCAGAGGCGCTCACCTTGCTGTCGAGCTGCTCCCCACGCTTCAGCAGGAAGTTGGCGATGGTGTCGAGCAGCCGTGGCTCACGAAGCCGGTGCCGTGCCACGTACTTGGCGATGAGGGCCATGGTGTAGGGGGTGAGGTTCTCTGCCTTCCGGGGCAGCCACTCTGCCGAGCCAATACAGCACGGACACTGTCACGGGCCAGCTCTGTCCCCACCCCACGTTCTCTACAGCCACCACAGCCCAGAAAGGTGTGAGGACAGGACTGGACGTAACACCAGTCCCAAAAACCTCAAAAGTGAGGCAGCTCCTAAAAGCCGTCAGGTCGGGGTCAGGTGAGAGGCTGAGGCAGATTCCTGTCATGCACAGCCAGAAGGCACAGATGGAGCACTGCTGGAATGTGCACAGGTGGGGCCTTCTGCAAAATCCCACCAAATATTTACTGTACGCAGCCTGGAGGCACTGTGGAAAAACAGTCCCTGAAGGAATGGGGGGGCTTCTGGTCCCTGCCAGTCCCTAGAGTGATGGGGGGCTCCCAGCCTGTCAAAGCGCTGGGCTGTCAAGTGACAAGGGTGGCCATGACATATGGCTCCTTCTGCTCCAGTTCTGGGGCTCAGCAGGGCCCCAGCTGAGGCTGCCACCACCCAAACATCCCCAGGGCCAGGCAAGGCATCTGCAAGGCTGTCCCCCACCCAGCCAGAGGCCCTCACATCCTCTGCCTGACCAGAGCCCTGCACCACCAGCACGGGTGGCAATGCCGGAGCCCACCTGGGCACCCCTCACCTGCCATGCTGCGAATGAAGCGCTCCTGCCGGTTCTCGTAGAAGAGCTGGGAGCTGAAGATGGCTTCCAGGGCCTTGTTGTTGGCCTCCTGGGCACACAGGGCCAGCATCTCGTCCAGCAGCGCCAGCTCGTGCTCCCTCATGGCGCTCACCTGGCCCAGCGTGTGCCGCACCAGGCGCAGGATCTTGCGGTTGTTGATGAGCTGCTGGTCGGAGGCCGCGTGGCCCTGCAGCGCCTGTGCCCGCAGCCGGTAGTAGGAGAGCAGCAGGAAGAGGGTCTGGGGGTGCCGCTCCTTCTCCAGGTGCCGCTCCAGGCTGCTGAGGCACGACTCCACCAGCGGGTGGGGGCTGGAGGGGTGCAGCCGCATCACGCTGCTGAACACCATCGACACGTCCTTCTGGTTGAAGCGGCCCAGGCGGCTGCGGGACTCGTCCTCCAGCACCCGCACGAGTGGCGACTCCCCGGGCAGCCCTGCAGGGCAACGGGCACAGGCACGGCTCAGATCCTGGGCACGGCTCAGCTCCGTGGCACAACCCCCTCTGCAGCTCGGGTAGGAGGCCACTGCCGTAACTGGATGGATGTGCTGGGTCAGTGACCGAACCCAGAAGGGGAAGGGAGGGGAAGGCAAAGCACCAGCAGAACATCAGAGCATCCACACCATGGAAAACACTGTGTGGAGGTGAGGGGTCATTCCCACCCATCTCACTGCAATGGGAGCCCTGCAGCTCATCCGCAGTAGCAAGGTTAATTTCCTAGGTCTCAAACATCTCAAAGACAAATAAATCCTACAATCCCAAAATCTCAAACTGTTTTGGGTTGAAAGGAACCTTAAATCCCATCCAGTTCCAGCCCTCTGCCATGGGCAGGGATACTTTCACTAGACCAGGTTGCTCCAAGCTCTATCCAACCTGGCCTGGAACACTTCCAGGGGCTCTAGGCACTCAAAAAACTCATCTCAAAAAGTTGATAAAAAAAAGTTGTGGTTGGAAAACAACTATGACATCCCATGTGATCAAACTAAACCCTGTTTGTTCCAGCAGGGACTAATCCTTTGGCTTTTTTGACCTTCTCCTGTTTCTCAGCTCGGCTTTAGCTTGTGCGACCTGGCTCCCAGGGAAACACTTCCCTGCAGCTCGGGAGGTGTTACCCAGGCCTGGGCACAGGCTCAGTGCCTTGGCCGTCAGGAGGGATCTCCTCAGCAAAGGCAAAGAGCATTGGAGGGGGCCCGGAGCTCCCCATCACCCCAGGATTTGGGCGGGCACAGGCCGCAGGGCAGCGCAGGGCGAGTCACTGCGGGTTATTGTTAATCAGAACTCAGGATGGGAAACGTGCAGAATTGGTCTGAGCAGCCGCTTTGTTCCGTAAAAAGGCCTCAAGAGAAAGCTGGAGTTTGTGCTAATGAGGGACAAGGGGGCAGAACAGAGTGGGGGGCACAGCAGCGCTGTGGGGGGCCCAGCACGGGGAGCCTGGCGAGGGCAGCGGCGCCGGCAGCTCCGGCTCAGTGTCAACAAACACCCGGCGCCGGGCAGAGCCGGCCCCCCTCCCCGACAGGGGCTCGAGTTACTGCGTCAACCACGGCCGGGCGGCTCCGCCGAGCCCTGGCCCAGGGAGGCTGCGGGGAACGGGAAGGAGAACAGGATGGGGGGAGCCGTGGGCAGGAGGGCAGGCACCCGCCAGATCGTGGAATCCTGGAATTGTTTGGGTTGGAAGGGACCTTAAAGATCATCCAGTCCCACCCCCTGCCATGGCCAGGGACACCTTCCACTAGACCAGAGTGCTCCGAGCCCTGTCCAGCCTGGCCTTGGACACTTCCAGGGATGGGCAGGCACAGCTTCTCTGGGCACCCTGTGCCACGGCCTCTCAACCTGCTCAGGGAAGAATGCCTTCCCAATACCCCGTCTAACCCTGCCCTCTGTCAGTGGGAAACCATTCTCCCTTGTCCTGTCCCTCCAGGCCTTTGTTCAAAGTCCCTCTCCAGCTCTCGGAGCATCTCCTCTGGGCTCGATCCAAGTCTTTCTGCTGTTCGGCTTCACAGCTGGAAGCAGCACTGCAGGTAATGCTTCACTGAGTGGGCAGAGGGGAAGATTCCCCCTACTGCTCTGCTGTCCATTCCTCTTTGGATGTAGACCCCATCCCCTTCCCTGAAGCAGAACTTGCAGGGACTCCCGAGTCCACAGATGGAGGAGCCTCCAGGATGGAGCCTTCCCTGGGACACAGCCCCTCAGGATGCGGCCTCCCCAGCTCAGCAGGACCCCAAGGAAGCTACGCAGGAACCCAAATACCTCAAACCCTCTCTCCCACACAGCAACACCCGGTCACATGGGGCTTGTGCCCTCCAAGAGTTCAGCCAAACCCACGGTCTCCCTCAGTGGTGCTCAGGTGTTTCCTGCTTTTTAGGCCTTGGAACTCAAGCTGGAACTAGCTGGACACGGCCCAGGAGTGGTTGATACACATCCTGCCAGGGAGGACTGCCCAGCATCAACCTCCTGCTCAGCTAGGGACACCAGGCCCTCCTGCCCTGGAGGAGTAGAGCATTCCTGCTGAGCAGAGCCCTCAATGGTCACAGTTATGTCTGCCACAAATCCAGCACTACATAAATCCCCCAGAGCCGGGCCCTGGCCGCTGTTGCAGCGCTGTGCTCCCCACCCTGCCTGAGACCCCCGGGGTGGCTCACCCAGCGCAGCCGCTGCGTACAGGCAGTTGACGATGCTGAAGTTGTCGAACTTGGCGCAGCCGCTGACGATGGCCTGGCAGAGCACGTGGAACTCGGGCTGCTCCAGCACCTGCCCCGCGGGCCCACGGCTGTCCCCAGCCCCCATGGGCGGCCCTGGCTGCTGCTGCAGGAGCTGGCCCAGCTTGTGAAGCGCTATAGGGTAGTGACTAGCCGACACCTTGCCCGGGTTCTGCGTGACCCAGCGGAGCACCTCGCCCACGCTGCGTGAGCGCTCGATCAGCCGCTTCATGGTGAAGAAGGTGTCGTAGCTCATCTTCTCGTGGATGAAGTTCCAGCTCTTTCTCTTGCCGTGGGCCCGGCCCCGGCCGCCGTCCGGGTGCACGGTGGGCAGCAGCCCATGGCCGTAGGGATCCAGGGGCAGCAGCAGCCGCGGCCTGGCCTTGCCGGCGCAGCAGCAGGCGGGGAACATCGCGGCACCGCGGCGCTCACGGGCAGCCGGGCCCCGCGGGCCCGCCCGGGTCAGAGCGCGGAGCCATGGGCACAGCAGCGGGCACAGCATGGCGGGGGCGGCACGGCGCGGGGGACTCCGCGGCTCCGGAGGACCCTGCGGGACAGACCGGCGGGGGCGTGACCGGCAGGACGGCGGGGAGAACGGGCGGCCGCGGGCACTCCCCGACCTGGCAAGCACTCCCCGCACCCACCGGGATCCGCGCCCCCGCCCGCACGACTCGCCGGCACCGGGCCCGCCGCCCTGCCCGGTGTCCCCCGCCCCACAGCGCCCGCCCCTCTCCCGGGTATGCCCCGACCTCCTCCGGCACCAGGCCCACCCTGGCTCCCCCTCGCGGGATTCCCTGCCCCCTATCCGACCCGACCCGGCCCGGCCCAGCCCAGCCGTACATGGCGCTGGCGGCCGCTCGGTCCCGCCGCCACCGCCGCCACTCAGCGCCGCCGGGACACGGACACGGCCCGGGAGCGCAGCCCCGCCGCCATCTTCCTGCGGCCCCGCCCCACGCGCGGCACTTCCGGGGCGGAGCCGGCGCGCGAACCAGCGCTGCGCCTCCGCCAATGAGCGAGAGCTCCGTGCAGAGCGGGGCGGTGCCGTCAGCGCAGGCGCGCTACGGCCCTGCGGAGCGCGTGGCGGGAGGCGCCAGGCCCCGCCCCCTCCGGAGCCCCGCCCCCAGCCCGGCCGGTGTCCCCGGTCACCCAGCGCCACCTGCCCCGACCCACGGCGCAGCACAGGCGGGACGCCACGGCCGGTCACAGTCCTTCCGCTTTAATCGGAACGGCGGTGGGGACCCCCCAACACAGCATCGGAACCCCCGGGACAGCGAGGAGTGCAGCCGTCCCCGGCACCGAGACCGCCTGGGGGCACAAATCCTCCCCCGGCACAGGGACCTTAGGAGCGCATCCAGCCGGCACCAGGACACTCGGCACCCCGGGCTCAGGTCCCTTCCCACGCACCGGGACCCCCAGGAGCAGCCAAGCCGTATTCCCACGACACAGACACCACCCCAAGCAGGACCGCACCCGAGGAGCTTCTGCACACAGAGTGCCTGGGGGATGCTCCATGCAGGGACGGGGGCACCGGGACCCCCCCGAGGTAGCTGAGCCTCCACTCCTGCAACAGCCCCTGTGTGCAGACAAGGTGTGGGTGGGCACCTGCTCGGGACTCCTGGACCTGTGGGGGACACAGTCCAGGGCCCAATCCCCCACTTCAGGTGCAGTGGACAGGCCCCACGTCCCCCGATATGTTGAGCGGGCTGAATGCAGAGCCCTCCATGTCCCAGGGGGGCTGGGCAGGCTTTAAGTGTCCCAGGTGTGGCTCTAGGTCCCCGTGTCCCAGGTGCTGGTCCGGGCCGCGCTATCTGCGGTACATGGCGAAGGCCACAAAGGTGACGAGCAGGGTGAGGCCGGCCAGGCAGGTGGTGGCGGTGGCAGTGAAGACGTGACGGTGCTGCAGCTGCAGGTACCAGAGCAGGGCCAGCAGCAGCACGAAGAGCGGCAGCGCCAGGCTGCCCACGCCCAGTGCGGCGGGCGCAGGGCTGCGGGGACCGGGGGTGCCGGGGGCCGTGGGGGCCACGCTGGGCGGGGACAGGTGGCAGTGCAGGACACTCAGGTGGCCCAGGTTCAGCCCCGCCAGACTCTGGGAATCGTCACGCAGCAGCTGCCCCTGGTAGATCAACCGCACCTGCTGCTCCTGCCCGGGAAAGTAGGTCCTGGAGGAGACAGGGACAGGAGTCACACCGCTGACAGGACAGGACAAGCCGCTCTGACCCACCTCCTGTGACTGTGCCCCCCCGTGCAGCTGAGCCTGCGTGTCCCCATCAGCCACCCCAAGTGTCACTTTGCCAGGTCAGTTTCTTCATCCACATCCCATTAATGTGCCCACCCCAGCCCTGCACACCTGACCCCACACACTTGTGCCTGACCCAGTTGTCACCTGCCAGCACAGTCTCCTCTGTTCACCCCCTGCCACCCATTATCACACACCCGTGCCCATCAGCCACCCCAGCTGTCACCTGCCAGCCTGGGCTGTCCCACGGCCCCGCCGGGGATAGGCACAGCTACCCGGGCACAAGCCACCTGCCGCACACACCGCTGTCCCCCGCCAGGTGCTGCGGGAAGGGGAGGGACGCCCGCTGGGGCCTGGGGACTCTCCAGCCAGGACAAGTCGTTCCTGCCCGCACCCCCTCACCTCTTGAGCGCACCGACGGTGTCCCCAGGGCGCACCCGCGCCAGGCGCTCCGTGTCGTTCAGGAACTTGAGCCGCAGCACCAGCGTAGGCTCCGCGGGGCCTTCGGGGGTGGCCGCGGCAGGGTTCCGGTGCCGCAGCCCCGCGGCCTCATCGGAGGCCGCCGCTTCCTCGGCCGGAGCCGGGGCTGGAGTCGGGGCTTTGCGCTCGGCGGGGGCCGTGCTCGGGGCCGCCTCAGTCGGAGGCGCCGCGGGCTCGGGGGCGCGCGTGGAGGCCCAGGCGAGCCCCAGCACGGCGGCCGCCAGCAGCAGCGCGAACAGCACCGTCACCTCATCGCCGACGCCCTCGATTAGCGCCATGGCGGCGGCAGGACCGGGGGGAGCACCGGGAGAGGGTACCGGGCGGGCGCGGCCTCAGCCCGCGGGGCCGCGGGGAACCGGGGCCGGGGCCACGGCCGCACCGGACCGAGCTCGGGCCGCCATCGCGCCGCTTCCGGTCGGGCGCGGGGGGCGATGGGACATGTAGTCCTGGCTGTAGGAGCCATAGCGGGGGTGTGGTCTCCGCGCGGAGCACGCCGGGAGTTGTAGTCTCGGCCCGGCGCCAGGCACTCCCAGTGTAATCCCAGTTACCTCCAGTCACTGCGTGTGTGATCCCAGCCCCTCCTGGACACTCCCGCTATTTCCCTAGTAACTTGCAGTACGTTCCCAGGCAGTTCCAGTGTGATCACAGTATCACCCCAGCATGGGCCCAGCTGCTCCCAGTATGATCCCAGCTGCTGCCGGTATGGTTTCAGTTGCTCCGAGTGTTAATTCCCAGTATGAACCCAGTTAACCCCAGTATAATGCCATTTGTCCCCAGTGTAGTTCCAGTTGCTACCAGTCACCCCCAGTATGGCTCCAGTCACTCCCAGATATGCTAGATACTCCCAGGTTTAAATTCCTGTGGATGTGTCACTGGGGGACATGGGCAGTGGTGGCCATGGCCGTGCTGAGGGTGGGTGGGCTTGGGCGTCTCCAAGAGTTTTCTACCCTCAGTAATTCTGGAGATGTGAATTCCCAGGAGTGCCCAAAAACATCTGCAGGCTCTGATTAAAATCTTTTATATTAAGTGAAAAATTCTTAATTTTAGGTGAAAAATTCTAATTTTAGGTGAAAAGGTCTTAATTTTAGGCTAGAAATTGTTCATTTTAGGTAAAAGATTCTTAAGTGAAAAGTTCTTAGTTTTATGTCAAAAATTCTTACTTTTAGGTGAAGAGGTCCAACCATGAAAACACAGCAATAGGGATGGGGGAGATGGGAACAAACTGACTTTCCCATAAAGGACAATTGTGGGTGGAAGGGAAATTCTGGACAATTATATCGCCTGTCCTCAAGGCATCCCCTCTGTGGCTTCCTCTCTGGTGTAGCACTGACATTTCCTGGGATAAGATCCGGAGGATTTTATTCTCCATATTATTTTTCCTGGGAAAAAATCAGGTTGAAACCAGGATAAAACCAAGAGGCATCGGCCTCCGAGGGCAGCCCCTTCCTGCTGAGGGTATTTGGGGTTTGGGATGGAGGGAATTAATAATTTCTATTCTGGAATTCTGTGTGGGATCTGCCTCTGGGTGGGAAGGAAGGGCTGCAAGTAAGGCAAAACCCATCTCCAGCCTGGAGGTGCCAAGGTGCCCAGCAGATCCCGGGGCTGTCAGAGCAAGGGATGTGACAGCAGCAGCAGATTTAAACCATGACTGATCTGTGCAGGCAGAGAACTGAGATTTATCCCTTCCTAATGTTGGGATGAGCCCGAATCCACTGCTGGAGGGGTTGTGTCTGCTCAGATTTGAGCGTTTATCCAGCGGTTCATCCCCCCTTGATAAATCCGGTGTCTGGTTGTCACTGTGGATTTGTCTGGCTTCAGCTCCCAGAGAGTCGAGAGTGAGACTTTTCCATCCTCCCTGCCTCGATTAAGAAGCTGTTTAATATTCCCCTGAAAGTACTTTCCCAGTGTCATCCAGTCACCTTCAGTTTCCCAGGAAAGCTGAGCAGATTGTGCTCCTTAAATCTGCTGCTGAGGAACCAGGAGCACTCGTGTCGCCCTGCCCAGGGCTGCTCTGAATCCCTTGGATTTTCCACGTTCTCCTGAAAGACTGGTGATCTAAAGTGATGGCCAGTTCTGGAGGTGGGAACCCCCTGCCCTGCCCAGGCTCCACAAGCGGCAGTGAGGGGGTCCCAGGGGTCAGCAGGGTGGGGACCCCCAATAGTGACACCCAAAGGTGTCCCAGCCCCTTCCTGCAGCTCAGCCCCGCTGGGGCTGGGGCCTGTCCAGGGCAGGGAATGGAGCTGGGAAGGGTCTGGAGCCCCAGGAGGGACTGAGGGAGCTGGGGAAGGGGCTCAGCCTGGAGAAAAGGAGGCTCAGGGGGAACTTTGGCTCTGCACAACTCCCTGACAGGATAGGTGGGGGTTGAGCTCTGCTCTCAGGGAACAAGGGACAGGACAAGTGGAAACAGCCTCAAGCTATGCCAGAGGAGGTTTAGGTTGGATATTGGGGAAAACATTTCAATGAGAAGGGCTGCCCCGTTGTGCTTCTGCCAAGGTTCATGGTCCCCTCCTTCTGTTTCCTCTTTACTCACCATTTCACCTTTCCTCAGTGTTTCTCTCTGTGGTCCCCCCATGAGTGGGCTGAGCCCTCTCCTGTCCCACAGGCCTTGCTGGGATTGTTGATCCTGAGCTCTGGTCAGGACCTCCACAGTGCCCAGAGGGGTTTTATCCACCTTGTTCCATTTTCAGCCCCTTTTCCCAAAGCCCACATATTCAGTCAGTCCAGCTCCTCCGAGATTGTGACCAGAGAGGGGTCGCAGAGGAATTCTGCCCCAGGGGGGCACTGGGGACACGGGGA